GGTTTAATCCTATTCGTCGAGTAGAAATGTTTTTAGAACAGGAATTAATTTGATTGGACGCCTTTTCCTGATCTGCCCAGTTACAAAATAGATGAATTCTTCTGTCGAATTCTGCATAGCAACAGCGAAAGCGAAACCAGCTCACACAAAACGTAAAATTGACATGCATGTAGAAATGTTAGGAAGAAGCAGAGAGCTCAGGTTCTCCAGTCTGAAATGATCATTTAATATTAATAAACTGAATTCTCATTAACCACATAAAGGATATGGTTAAATATTATCTCAAATTTCTTAGGGTAAAAAAATCTGTTTTTTGCCTACAAACCCCAAGAATTTTATTGTGGATAAAAGATTAATTAAAAAAAAACACATTAGAATAAAGTCAACCATTCAAATGCCATGCTATGGTAAAACTATGTTGAACAGCTGATGCAAATCAGTGATTCTACTTTTACTGAGGACATATTTAGCTGTTTAATCTTCAAGAAATCAAGGAAAACAGCTCTCTTTATTTTGTCACATGAATTTTCCATCATACAAAAGAGAAAGTACACAGAGTAAACAGGAGCAGACAGGAAGAGAAAGGTTTGTTAGTGATGCTGAAACCCCTGCCTCTCGTCTTCATTCAAACGCGCTGCAGAGAAACATGAACACAAACATTAGTCACATCTACAGATTGCAAATAAAGCTCTGTTCACGCTGCTTACATATGACTGCTCACCCAACCATCCAGGCTGTCATGTTGTAAAGTTTGCAGACAACACAGCTGTGGTTGGTTGCTTCACAAACGATGAGACCGGCTACAGGAAGTAGGTGGAACACTTGGACTGGTGCAGGAAAAACAATCTCTGCTTAAATGACAAGAAGACGAAGGAGAAGATTGTGGACTTGAGGAGGGGAAGACGCACACACACCCCTGCACGTTGGAGGATCTGCAGTCTAAGTAGTACCCAGCTACAAGTACCTGGGTACGTACCTAGATAGCAACCTTACCTGGAAAAACACTTCCAGCCTGATCAGGAAGGCTCACCGGAGGCTCTACTTCCCGAGGCAGATGAGATGTGTGGGAATGGAGAGCTCAGTCCTCATCTCCCTCTACAGATGTGCGGTGGAGAGTGCAGTTTCTGTGCTCTGGCATCAACGTGTGGCACAGAAACTGCACTGAGGCAGAGAGGAAAGCTCTACAGAGTGGTCGGAGGCAGCCCCCCAACTGTCACAGACATATACACCTCCAGATGCAGGACGAGGGCCACCTGTATAGTGAAGGACCCCACTCACCCAGCACACTCACTTCTTGTCCCCTCAGGCAGGAGGCTGAGGAGCATTAAATGCAAAACCACCAGACTGAGAAACAGCTTCATTCCAGAAGCTGTGAGACTTTCTCAATACAAGAACAAGAACTGATATTGTAGCACCTTAACCACTGCTGACACCGTCACGTTATCAGTGCTGGACATCATGGTCGTTTGCTGCTGTAGCTATACTCCATACTGGTACTCAGGTTGTTGCACTCTATTTATTTGTACAACTTATTATTTGTTATTGTTTCTTTCACTCCGGGACCGTGTGCACATCATTTCATCCCACCTCATGTAAACGTGATGCGAATGACAATAAAGCATCCTTGAATTCTGCTCATCTGGACGCAACGTTTTCAGTGGGAGAAACGTTTCGTCACTCATCCAGGTGACTTCTTCGGTCTCAGCTGACTGCAGGTTTCCCCAATCTTATAAACAGGACATTTGCATAATATTGGGGAAACCTGCAGTCAGCTCAGACTAGCTAGCAAGCGCTGAAACAGCCCGTTAAATTGTTTCAGCGCGATCTTTCTCATTTCCAAATAATTCTTGATAATGATACATAAACCCAGCGTCTATTCCCATTGGTCAGTTCTCAGAAATCTACCCAGACACCAAAAGCAGGTTTAATCCTATTTGTTGAGTAGAAATGTTTTTAGAACAGAAATTAATTTCATTGGACGCCTTTTCCTGGTCTGCCCAGTTACAAAACAGACAAATTTTTCTGTCAAATTCTGCATAGCAACAGCGAAAGCGAAACCAACTCAAACAAAACAAAGTTGACATGCATGTAGAAATGTTAGGAAGAAGCAGGGAGCTCGGGTCCTCCAGTCTGAGCGTTTTATAATAACTGAATTCTCATTAACCACATAAAGGAT